GCCGGCCCCATGCGGGGGCGGGCCCTGCCGGAACGCGGCGCTTGGCGAGGGCCGCGGGCGGAGCCGTTGTCGCCGCCACCTCCCCCTCACCGATCGCCGGCCCTGCCGGTGGTGGGGCCCGCCATGGGGCTGTGCCTGCCCTGCATGGGGGGTGCCGTCAAGGACGTGGTGGAAACGCCCGACCCGGTGAGTGCGGAGCCGGGGAGCGGCTTCCCCTCCCTTCCTTCCCTCTCCCCCCCTTCTTTGGCTTTCCGCCCGGTTGTTTGTAAGCGGGCGGTGACGCCCAGAGGCACCGGGAACCGAGGGGGTGGGGGGGGACGACGACGAGCCCGGGGAAGCAGCGGCCCTGCCCGCCGGGCCGGCGGAGCGGTGGCGGGAAGGGGCCGCCTTCCTCAAAATGGAGGCCGGGCCTCCCCGCGCTGCCGCCGGGGCTCCGCGGCAGGGCCCTCGGGGAAAGGCCTCATGGCCGCCGCAGTGCCCCGGGTTGGGGGGGAGAGCGATGCGCCCCCGGCAGCGGCCGTGCTCCTCCTCCGGGGCTCGGCCGCCTGGCCTGGGCAGGGGAGCTGCCGGGGCAGCCCGCAGCCTCCCTCCCTCGGCTCTTGGCCCACGTCTGGCTCCTGGGCGCTTGTGTGGGGAACCGGGGGTTTCACGCCACACTGGAGGCCGAGACAACCCTCATTTTAACCAGAAACGGGGAAAACCGTGCTCGTCCCCCTAGTGCACGGCGATGCTCGCTTCTCGGCTCACCTTCCTCGGGTGACATTGCTGCTGGGCGGGCAGGAGCCCACCTCCGTGCTCTGGCACCCCTCACCTCAGGGGGCTGAGGGGAGCGGGACAGGAGCCCCTCAGGCCTGGAAGAGCGAGCGTTCCCCTTTTCGGAGTCCAAAAGGACATTTCCCGCTCCGGTCTGAATTTTTCTGGAGTGAAGGCGTGATGCAGACAAGCTGAATACAGATTTCTGGGGGGATTGGACTGTAGATATGTCAGCAGCTGCTCTTCTAGCAGATTAGTCACTGAAAACACTTCGTTCTTGCAGACTGGCGGTGGAGGGAAGGATGACGCTAATTGACTTAAGGTTGGCATTTCGTGGCAGTTTGCATTACAGACTTGAGTAGTTTTTAAAAATCAAGACTTTCAAAAGAATGTACAGACTGTATTGGAATAGAATTTCACTGTCTTTCACATTTTATTTAGGAAATAAAAAGAAGACAGCTAGCAGAAGCTGCTGAAAAGAGGCAGATGGAGGTAACGTATGACAAAATACGATTTATTCAACATATATTTAGGTAACTGGTTAATGGGGAAACCAGCTAGGGCCCCTGGGGGAACACTGGATATGATGCCCGATTGTGGGAATTGCCATTAAATATTTTCTTAGTATCATTAATTTTTACTTTTATGTCATTCTTTCTATATATTTACAGTAGAGTAAATACACTCTACTGTATAGAGCTCGGTAGGTGCTCAAGGACGACTGCAAGATAACTGGTCTTGTTTGGATGGGAGAAGTTTTGCAGTAGTTAAAAAAACAGCCTAAGAATTGGAAGAGCAAGTTCAACATTATTTTTTTTTTTTTCCTCATTATAAGGCTTGAAAACAAGAGATTGAGAAGTATTTCAAACCAGAGTTGTCCAACAATTGTGGCAGCAATTTCAAGTGGTACTGCACTTGTCTTACAAATATGCAGGTCATGAGGACTTGCAAGTTCAGTTTATCAACGTGGCAACAATTGAGCACGTTTGAAACCTCAGCTCAAATTCCAGCAAAGTAGTAGTATTAATTTACTCTATCTTTTTAAGGTTTCTAAGCTATAACTACTGCAATACCCTTAAAGTTAGAAGAGGTAAGATACAAGTGTTCTAGCACGATGTAAAACTAGCTAGCCTATTTCTTCCTTTCCATACCTCTCAAAAAAGCTTATAACACACCATACCAAATCTACCAAGTGTATCTTAGAGACCACAGCTGAACTATGAAGAGAAAGGAATGTATTGTTTGTATGAGTGTTAGTGACATTACATACTGAATTAGAAGTCAACTGTTTTTGATGAGGACCACATTGACCTGGTTTTAAGGGAGTTTGGTGAATAAGTGGAGCAACAGCTGAGTGATGCTTCGGAGTCCTTCTTTAAAAACTCTTGATTTTGTGTCACACTACATACTAAAAGCAATCTACACATAATCTTAAATTGCAGAGGTTATTTTCAGCATAACTGTAGGAAGTACACTTTTGAGAAGCACGTGAAATGGGAACATCCTCATCTAGCTCTTAAATTGCTAAAAAGCTTTTCTGGGAGGAAGGAGAAAAGAAGTGACTTGAGTTATGGATGGCTTTGAAATTCTAAAGTAGCCGTTAAGCTGCTAAAGAAAAATGGAACTATCACTCTGTTACTTTTTGTTTTCTTAAAAGACAAAGAGATAAAACATCTACCAGGATTTTTCAGGACTACCTTTGAAAGCATTTCAGCCTCTGAATGTCAGGTAACGGACGTGTCCTGCAAGCAGCCTAATTCAGTTTCCCCCCTCGTGAGGGACAAGGGAGTAGATCAGATGTCCTTCTCTGCTTAGCGTTTTCCTGTACATGATTCTTAACTGCTCAATATTCAGCCTGAAGTCATGTGAGGTGTTCTTCCTTTAGGGGTGCTGTAGAGACAGTCTGGGTACCTAACTCGCTTGAAAGGCCAGTTGCCTAAAAGCTAGACGTCACAGGGGCTCCGTACGTTAGTATTTGTTGGTAAGATTTGCCTTAGTAGCCCGTTGTGAATTGTGCTTGTCATCAAGGCCTTGAATTTCAGGTGAGAGCGTTGCTGTTTTCCCTTGGTAGATTTTAACATCTTTTGTATAGCTTATGCTGTAGTATCATAACCCTAAACTTAGCTAAGAATCAGTTTTTAAAACATTTTCTTTCTAGGTTTACAGTGTTAACTGTTTGTCTGTAGTTCTGATATTCCTGCCATTTAGTCTAATTCCTCATTAGACCATCATGACCAGGCTGTGCAGCAGACAGTTGACAACAAGTTTCTCATCTGTGTACTACTGCTATTCACACATCCTATGAAGTTTGAAGGGTAGGCTATCACACAGGTTATTTCTCACAGATCACAATTTCAAAGTTGCATTTCCTACAGCTTGGGCTAGCACTACTAACGCAACCTTTTTTCTCCTCTGCATGTAAAGTTCCCAGCAATTTCTGTAGTAGCTATACAGAGCTTGTGACTTCCTCTGTCCGCTTATCGAGTGTTAGAACAGAAGCCGTCATTATGATTTCCATCATCTGTGTCCTATCTCTAGGTAGCTTTCTGATAAAAAGACATAGAAGAAGTGAACTGATAATGAAACAGGTGAAGTTCTTGGAAGTTTTGTCTGCCCAAGTCATCTCTTCCCAGTTAATTCTGTTTGTGAGGGCAAGAATAGGCCCTGATGCTGGAAAAGAACCACAGACTGAAAAATTATGGGACTTTTGGGAAGGGAGGTTCTGGTTCTGCATCTTAGGATGCAAAGGAGGTACATGTAATTGCATTAGGTGCGTTCATCTGGATGTAATAACGATACAAAGCAAAAACACCCTCACATACCTATGGGACCAAGAGTTGACAGCACAAAGAAGTATCCTGAAAGGTCTGTGTTTATGTAATAGTAGCATTACTTAACGTTTCAGTCTTTTCACACAAACCAGAGTTCACAAAATGGTGTTGCCAAGAGTTGCAGTTCGGTTTCTATCCAGAAAAATAGCTAACTGGTCTTACCCAAATGTGTTTTCTCCCAGGCTTCCTCTCGAGGTATTAAGAACGCTTACTCTGTAGAGCAAAAGAAAAAGAAACAGGAAGAAATAGAAAAAAGAATTGCAGCTTCAGGTTCTGGAGGAGAAGGAGGACTGAGGGTAAGTTTAAAAAAGAAACAACGTGATGCCACTGTCCGTATATGCACTGAGAAAATCCTGTTTTGTTGCCTACAAGATTGAATAACTTGCGGAAGAACCAAGAGGAAGGGAAGAGGAATAGAAATGGAAGCCTGTGTCGTTATCACGCAGTGTTCTCGATGAGATGTCTTTTCTGGGACACAAAGACAGCGAGGATGGCAGAGAGCTTGTTTCCCCCCCCGCTCTTCTTCCCCAGTTTCTGCACCTATGATGCATCAGTTTGACAGTACTCTCAGCACTGGGGACCTCCTCAGTGAGTTGACCTGAACCCAGTGTCCGTTTTCAGTACTGGTTGAGATTATCTCTCTTCCCTCAGAGCTTATAGGAAATGCTTGAACTAAGTAGGGTAATGGCTTTGGGTTTCAGGTTCTCTCTCTCTCTTTACAAAAGAAATACACAGCGTTGGCACAGATACTGATGAACTTTACTGCTACTACTTTCCTAATGCAAACCTTGTCTCGGAAGGCCAGGCAGAGATTTGATTAAGAATCAGAATCTTTCCAAGGCAATAGACGCATCTGGCTGTCAAAACACAAGCTTCATAAACCTTCATCTCTTACCTGCATTGCCGTATATGACTCTGGGGGCAGGAGTTTGTATAAGCTGCCACTGGTGGGCTGAATTTGTTGGACATAAAAGGTGTTAGAATGGGGAATTTACTGTCTTCAGACAGCCCTGTGGTGTTTGGGTTTTTTTGTTTGGTTGGTTGGGTTTTTTTCCTTTCTTTCCCCTATCTTCATACAAACCTGCAATGTGTTTTGTTGTTTTTGTCTTTAGTGGCAGGTTGGATAAAGAAGTATGAATTTTGAAGAGAAGATGATTGATGTTTACTGCCAATAACTTGCCAGTTTCTGCAGTTGAGTGGCACTTACTCATCATGTGGCTTTTGCTGTTTGCATATGAAGACTCAGCAGTACTTTGCCATCGTGGGAGAGGAGATGTGGAAACGTACACTAAGAAACTTAAGAACTAACTCTGAACACTAAGTTTTGGCCAATTTTTTTGTTTGTTTTATGTGCATGTTTTATCGCTTCCCTGTCCAGGGAGTGAGATGGGTTTTCTCACATGGAAGTGACCTCCTTACACGTAGTCAGTCAGTATGCGTATGCTGTCTGGTCAGTTGGTGTATGTACATCTGCGTATGACTGGCTTAGGCACAGCTCAGGTGCCCGTGTGTTGGTTTTGACGCTTAATTCAAGCTCTACAATTAAACTTGTCTCTTAAGTCCTCATGTAGAAAGTTGTTTATAAATATATATATTTGAATATGTGGGTGGCAGCATTTCTCTTTGGTTTCCTAATGACTTTTGAACTGCTTTGGGATTTAGTGCCTTTTTCAAAAAAGAAAGCAGATTCACAGCAGGTCCTTAGAAATTGAAGCATTTTGTCACACTAGGTAAAAAAAAAAGAGAGACCTTTATAAACCCTGTATACTTATAGCAAGAAAGCTGTTTTATTATGAGTGTAATAATTGTTCTCATTTTCTGATGTGGATTTCTTTTGAGTCTGTAAGTATTTATAATGAATACCGGAAGTTAAACATTAAATTAAAGATACTGTTATTAGTTGTTCTCCTTTATTACCACAAGAGGGCAATGCTGCACTTCTCAGGATTTTAAAAAACAAAAAGCAAAAGACTCTCACCTCTTGGGTGGTTCATTTCCTAAAGTTTCTGTAGTGTCTGGGTGGGTTTGTTACAGCGCAGTAACATTTGCTAAATGCCCAAAGCTCTGTCGCTTTTATTCTGTATTCAGCAATGTCTGTAATCCTTTCCCAAATGTGAAGCTGCCTTTGATTATTTAGAGCTACCTAAACCATGGTGTTACAACTAGATCCTCAAACTGGTGGCCTTGAGCCACTGCTTTGATAGAGGAGGGAATTTCGTTGCAGCATGATCAACACTAAGAATCTAGCTCTTATTTTCCCCCCTGAGAGCACTATGCATGGCTTCAGTATCTTACTGGCCCCATTTCTGACCTAGTTTAGGCTATGAAGGCTTTTTTTTTTTCCTTGAACTAAATATTTCTTCTTTTACCTCCCCCCATAGCGTCTCATGCTGTCTTAGGAGCGCAGTCCTGACACAGTGAGTTTCCTGGCTTAGCCTTCAGAATTGAGTTGAGAAGGGAGACTTTTCAATATTAATATAATGGTGTTTAGGCTAAAAAGCTGTGTCCTTGGCAGATGAATACCTTCAGTTTCCTTTGATTGCTGGCAGTTGCTCTCTTCGGTATATTAACTGGTCATAGTGAATTTTTTTTAAGTAAGTCTAATGAAAGCGCATTGAGTTATAATAAAATATACTAAACATTAATTTGAAATGTGAACTTCAATCCAACACCTGTCACAGCGGGTGTCCTACAAAGGCACTTAAGCAGCATTTAACACTTAGTTGGTCACGGGATATTTCAAACTTAATGTATTCTTCTCTTCATTCTCCATCACACTGCTCCCCCAAAACCATAAGGGGAGGAAATAACCATCAGTCTCTCTTCATCCAAGCCCCTACTGTATGAAAGAGCTAGCACACTGAGCAGACCCGAGTCTGGGCTTGGATTAATATCATGAAGACTTTCATTTAAAACCATTGAAATAACCCAGTGAAACAAGTCACAGTTCCTGGGTCACCTGCTGATCCTTCAGTGCTGTCAAAATTGGCGGAGTTTCCAGTGTAGAAGCAGTCACGCTGCTGTGCTGCCCATCCTTGCTAGGCAGCCCAAGGCAAGCCTGTTGGGTTCTGCTCCAGGTGCTGTCACCAGTAAAGGTGCTTTGCCTTTGAGGAAGAGATTACCACCCTGTCTGAACACCCACACGGCTTGTCATCCAGCTCTTAGGTCTGCAAAAACAGTTGGCGTGCTCGCGGCTGTCTGCCTGGCAGCTTCTCTGGGAGGTGGGAGTAAAGGTCTGAACCACCTCAGATCGAGGGGACACTGTACTTAATGCAGAGTTACTGTAGAAGAAAACACTGCTCCTCTCTCTCTCCATCCTTTAAGTAAAAAACAGATATATCTTGTGCTTCTTAGGAGTCCTTGTTTTGCATGTCAGATTCATTGTTAGAGCTAAGAAACATTCCAGAGGATTTGGGAGTGTGTAGTTCTGTATTACAAATCGCTGACTGATAAAGCTATTTTCATAGAGGTTTCTATATCATACCCCTCTCACTGTTCCGATGGCCGGTCTGAACTGAATTTGGGAAGTTACTTGGGTAAATAAAAACACCTCTTGTTGGTTTAAGTTTTTCGGTAACATTAAATGCAGTTGAGAATAAAAGCAGAAAATACTGCAGTTCAGTAGTATACAACTGATCGCTACCTGAAGCGTACCATTGAACAGTAACGTTGAGAGCTAGGTAGATTAAAGCTGCTCTGTCCTTTTAAAAACAGACACCTCCCCTCTCTTCCTTATCACTTAGTGCTGCAATAAGGACAAAATTCCTACAGTGTTTCATATTTACTTATTTCCCCCAATCCTAGACATTTATTTCACCTTGGAGGCTGTTAAAACGCATCCTTTCATGTGGCTTATCTAGGCAGTTGACATTTTGTTTGCTTTACAGCAGTATATACCTTTTTCCCTTCCACCTTCTGAAAGCATTTTCTTGCAGATCACTTGAAAAAACTCCCAGCAGTCGAAGACCAGCGCTCGTAAGCTGAAATGAAGGGGCTGACTCTCGGTAACTGCGATGGCATAATAGCTGTTGCCGTAACAGAAAATGAAACCATCTGCTCCTGCGTATTGTTAAACTACACAGATCGTGCCAGGGAGAGAGTGTTCGGGGCAGAGCTCCTTGAGGTTTGGGAGGGCACAGAAGCCGCGTCTCCACAAGGGTGGGTAGCGCCGCTGCGGGCCCTTAGGAAAACAGATGACTTCAGCACGTGGATTTGGCACGGTGACAGACTAAATCACTGGGACACAGCTCATCAGGCACAAGCGGTGCCAGCGGTTGGACTGAGATGGAAAAACCTCTCCAGCCCCATAAAGGTTCGCACGATCCCACGTGCCTGTTTCACCTTACTTTAGATTCCTAACATACCACAGGCTAAGAAAGTAGGAGACACAGAGCAAAGAAAAAGCACTCTGCCTCCCTCCCTGTCAGGTACTGCGTATCAGCAGGCACGGCAGTACAACACATAAGCCCAAAAAGAACCAAACCTTCGTAAGCGCCTCTAGCAGACGCTTCTGTAACGCTGTGTTGTGGCAAACAGCTCATCTCCCTGACCTAAAACGAACACATATAATGAATTCGGTGTCGGGTCTTAAGTTATAAGAAACTTGCTATACCTTCCCCCACACATATATTGATACCTCCCTGTTTCACTCATCCCCACCAACAGCCCTTGAACTAGCTTCCATAGATTTTACGTATGATCTCCAAACTGCTGTTGGAAAAAAAGGTGGTAATGCAAGGGAAGGAGCGCTCATCGCTAATAAAGATGAGGAAAAAAAAACCCCTATCCTCAATCATTTATGTAAAGAATCCTGCTTGGAAGAAAAACTCCAGGTAATATATGAACCGCAAGGGGACAGAAGGTACCTTCCATAATGAGCAATAACAGATGTCACATTTCTAAACTAATTCCGAATTGCTTCCAACGTGGTGATGCTTATTTGACATTGGTAATAATAACAGGTTTTAGAAGGAATCGAACATAATTTAGCCATCTTTAGCACAGTTACTTATTCACAGCCAGCAGGAGCTCCCATGAGGTTTGTTCTATGACCCAACGAGGACTCTGAGCCTCCTCAACACTCACATTCAGCTGAGTTGTACAGCGACAGAGTAAGCTAAAATCACTACACGGCATGTGTCCTTACAATCACCTTCCACGGCTAGTTCAACATTTCCGCATCTCATCACCTGCCCTTTTAACAAGAAACTGCTCCCGTCTCAGCAGACCCTCCCTCACCTGGGGGGACAAGAGAAGAGCTGCAGGTCTTCCCTGTTGGTACTCTACAATTCAGTTCAGCCTTCTAGAAATCTACACCAGATACCTTAATACCATGGATTTTAGTATAGAAACTTCAAGTATCATCCACTATAGCTAGCTGGTCAAACAACAGGGTTTTTTCTCCCCAAATACTTTCGACATGAAGCCTGTTCTGCCCCCATCACTGCAACATAGGCCAGACCTCTTCGAGCAAGATTTTGCTGCTCAGCTTTAGCTTTGTAAATTGAGCCTTAGGCTCCTAACAAATTCCCCAACTCCTACATTGCTATAGGAGCTAGTATACGAAGAAAATACCATTTATCAGAGCAGCAACACTTACCTTCTGAAGAACATACGCCCAACCTCTTCCTCCAGAACTAACTAGCTTACTGCACCTTTTTTTATTTTTTTATTTTTTTCACTTTATTGATGCTCCTGCTTTAATTTCCTCCTCTGCTATCCACACCCACACCAGGTGCATTAAATGCACCAAGTCCCACCTGCAAGCTTTTTACACAGATTAGGTGGTAGAGGCAAGACTTTAACAAGTCCCTTATAGGTTTCCCATTTTGGAATAGGCCAAGTTGAAGTTTTAAGTCAGGAAGTGTTGTAATGTGATCTTTTTTTTTTTTTAAGATGTTTTGAGTATCCTGAATCAAAAAAGACTATTTTGATACCTACAGTCCAAACACATAAAGCAGTTCATGTTTAATTTAAAATCTTGGTTTGGATTTACCAGGGTTGGTTGTTGAAGTTTAATGTTAAAATAAACCCAAGAATACTTTTTTTATAATCGTCTGCTTGTGATTTATTAACATGTAAACACCATCAAATATTTTAAAGAAAAAACATAATAGTAATGCACACTTAATCTTGGATGATGGAAATACAACTATTTATGTTTTAAAGAGTAACCATTACTTCAAAATAAACATCTGACACTTTCACAAGTCATTTTTTTTTCTTCTTTGTTCATTTGAAAACAGATCTCTTGGTGCACATATTAAGATCATGATTTTTTTCAGCTGTGCTGCATTTTTTTAAAATAATGTTGCTCACGGTCTGTCCTCGGCTCCCATAAGGGCTACGTACATTGCTTCTATGAGAATTGGGTCTTCCAATGGCTTTTCAAAGGATTTACTGCTTGAGTATGCATTTAATCGTCCTAGAAAATGTCTCAAAATAAGAATAAAAGGCTGCAATTTTTCTTTCTAAAACCACGTCTGGAATTATGGACTGCTACTTAGTATGGTGCACCAAGCAATTGTGAAACTGTATTTAGCAGATATTTTTAGACGGTGAGGTAGAATGGTTCCATGGAAGTGAGATAAAACGTGCTGATTTTAGTAAGGCATGGAACATGAAAGAAGAAGGTCTTGATCCTGCCTAGCCAGTAGATACTTTGCTGTTAATTTTAAAGACCACAGGGACAGACCATAAGGAAGGATATGTTTTAAAATTAAACTTCAGTAAAGACAGAAAAATACCAGCTGGTACTTAAAAAAGTATTTCAAGAATGCTTTCAATTTTTTTTTTTTTTTCCCCCTGCAAAGGAAAATTAACTTTCAATAAAATCTGGATATTTCTGTGCTATCTGTAGTAAGTGAATCCTTGTCTCGTTCACTGTGTACCTCATTATTAGGTTAGCAGCCAGTATTGTATATTGCAGGCATCCAGTGAGTAGCAGCGAAGTTTGGGAACACAGATTACAAATAATAAATAAGACTTTCAAAATGTATCAGTATTTTAAAAAATTTTATTTCATTTGTAATGAAACAACTGAGTTCTGCTCAAATTTATACAGTCAGTGAAATAATCCTATAAAATGATTTTTCTAGGACGTTACAAGGCACATAAATTACCAAATATAAACATAGAAAAGTAGCCAAAATAATGAACTAAGCCCCCATATGCCTTTAGCTATTTTAGAGGTGTGTGAATGATTTACAAGAATGTGAATCACTCCACTGACAGGGTAATGAATATTTCACATTTGGCATGACCAACGAAATTAAAAATAAGGGGAAGGAAAAGCTCAGATTCAAGAAGAGCGTAGTGTTTTGTGACTCAGGAGGGACTAGCATCTTCTGAAGCTCGTCGAGTCCAAGGGCTGTGCATCTTTTCCTGCTTCCCTTCGTGGGTTGCAGTACATCACCCTCCCAGTACATCTGTATTGTCTGACAGAGGAAGGGGCAACCTCTCAACTTCCCCATGCTTCTATATTGGGCAACGTTGTAAAAAACAGGAAGGACCTACGTACAGATCTAGCACTGAACATTGTCTTTAGCTTTAAAGAATAGAAGGTGGGGGGGGGGTTTCCTTGGGCTTTTTTTTTTTTTTTTAAGTAATCAGTTTGGGAAGTTGTTTGGCATGCAGTAAGTCTTTATATTCTACTGGTTAAGAAAATCTTGCAACCCATAAAAATAGTCAATTTTTATTTCATGTCAAAAGGCATTACCAAATAATTTCCACAAATATTCATTTTCCACCTGCATATATATTTTTCAGCTAGCCTAACAGTCAAGGATTCAATGTAATAAGATTTTCATACAAATATATTGTATTGTGTATTTTCTTCCATTAACAGGATCCACTCCTTTATGTAACTCTAAGTATACATTCACATATTAAAGAGTAATAATTTGGCTAAAAATATATGTCTATTTCTTATCTGATTGTAGTAATTAGCCTATCAAGGGTAATTTGCTATAAAAGATACAGTACTAGAAATAAATAGTTCTACAGTTCAAAGATTTTCAAAATGGGTTGCCATTTCCAGTCTGTCTTAAATTTTCCAAAGTCCTTTTAAAGCATAAACTAAATTTACTACACTTGAGAAAATAATTTGGACCTACATACATAGAATCCCAATCACATGAGAAGCTTATTTCACTTAATCTCCTTCTTGGTTTTGTAATGGGCAGAAACAACCAGATAATTGTCTGGATTCATGTCCCTGAGGGTTGGAGACTTGCTCTGGATTGGAGAAGTTTTCCCATCCACTCGGGAGATCTGCAACATTCGGCACGGGTCATGCTTCAGTAAGTAACCTGCAAAAGTCTCCCATCCTCCTCCAACACGAACCATCACATGTTTGTTGTGCAGCATCTGAAATTACATAGACGGGGAAAAAAAAAACCAAAACCTCTTGAGAGGGAACCATTCACTGGGAAAATCACATTTTTTCTACTGGAAAAAGCTGTGCTGACTTTAATTAAAAGTCACAGACGTACGTTAGTAGTCTGCTTTATAATAGAAGGAAAGGAAAAGAAATAGTAGAATGGTTTTTATTTGAATGTAATAAGTAAATTAAAAAGGTAAGAAAAATGAGATCATATTTAAAACTAATATTTTATGTAAACAATGCTACATGTTTTTCTAGTCCTGTAGCACCGAGTGATCCTGTTCTTCATGTTTTTAGTATAAACACGTTAGGGAACGCAAATATTTTTCAGATTAATTTTTTGAAAATATGTTAGTAAAGACACCATTTTATGTGTCTTGAAACTGGCTTTTCTTTATAGGCTAGGGATCTATATAAAAGGAGTAGTGAAGGGCAAACAACCAAAACCATCTCCTCTATCTCTTAAAATATCAAAGAAGTTATTTAAGAAAATGAAGTACCCTTTAGTTTAACAATGTAGTATTGCTGACATACATTTTAACTACACTAGTCCAATGTTGCAATTAAATTAGTCTAATGAGGGACATCAGAAATAATGTGTCTGGAACTGTTTGGAGATACCTGAATTTATGCTGAGTTGGGAAAGAAAATACAAGAAAAGTCCCCAGGCTCTTACTAGCAGGAGAGCTCAGTACTGCTTACGCTTGCTGCCTTTATTCCAGGAACACTGGGGCTTGACCTACAAAGGAATTTCAGGTTGAGAGGGATATCTAGCTGCCAAATTAGGTACCTCTCTCTGATGTGTATCCTCCAGATCCACGCTCATTTTCTGCCTACACTCAAATAAGATCTTTCACCAAGCACCAATGTAACTTCTCCCACGTCTGCACCCGTGACTTCAGTTGGCACTTTCACTAATTTCTCTCCTCTAGTTCTCCATGCAGAACAGTCAAATAAATACCAGCGAGGGATCATAAAGCAGCATATTCTATAGAAGCCACATCATAAATCATGCACTGAAAAATACTTTGATTAGTACATCTCATGAACTGCTAAACATCATTTAGCCGTAGTGCCAGAAATTAAAAATTGGCCCTGTAAAAGGCATGCTAGAAGCTGTTTAATGTAGTCTGGGTAACGACATTTGGATTTATGGCTGTGATGAGTATATGGGCTCTTCTACACGTCCAAAACTCCCTCGAGGGCTCACAGTATTTGCAGTTGAGACTTAAGTGGCACGTAAGCCTTTCGTAACAGCACAATTCAGATTAGTACACATAGCATAGGCAACAAAACAAGAAAAATTCTCAAACAATATCACAGGTAATAAAAGGCAAAAATGTAACTCTTACCCCCCACCCCCCAACAACAAACACCCCACCTCAGACTAAAAATGTGTTGTTTGATTTCTGTTACATGAGGAGTCAGATTCACTTGGAGTGAAGAAAGCATGGAAAGCTGTACAACTTTCTAAAGTTTGAAAATCAGAGTAAGTTTATAAGGAATCAAACTCTTCACCTGAATAAGCAGCTGCAAATGAAATCTTGTTTGAAAGTTTTCATTTAAAACTTTTTAATGCAAGGCAATTCTTGTTTCTGCATTTTGGTTTTTCTGTGAAACGTAGTGGGAAGTCAATTCAGCTTTACAGATACTGAAAAATAAAGTTACTTCTGATCCATCCCAATGAGAGCACACGCAAGTACTCTTAGTTTAATTAACACCTCTCAGCTACTGAGACTGTCTGTGCTGTTGCTCTGGGTCGTAGGAGCGACAGCCTCTGTAATAGCTATACACGAGTGAGGTCTTTCTCTAGATTTACATGGATATGCAAGTAGAAGCAGAGTCACATCTTCACCAATCACACTTTTTCATCTCAAGCTTTGTATTTTGGTTTCAAAACTTCATTTTGAACTGACAATGCTATGGTCAGCCTTCAGCAGTATGAGATTTGAATCATATCTTTAGTCTGGACAATGTATCATGAATGAAGCAAATGGTTTTTACATCAAGTTTGAAAATTGCAATTCAAATGGTGACACAGCCTTGAGACAACAGTCTAAAGAATTTTATTTTGCAACTTTCTCCTCTTTGAATGCCTAAAAAAGCATTTGAGAAATGCCCCCAAAACTTTTCATGTTAAAACATTTGAAGCCCAACTTTGGTCCACTACAACACGTGATGGTGCTGTGGGAGGGAGTTAACTGTTGCTGAATTTCAGCTTCCACGTACTGTCACAGGGGGGTTCATGTTCCAAGAGCACTTTGTATTTGGACTTTTGATTAAGACTTAGGAGTGGAAAGTTAGCAAACAGTATGTTTGGTTCAATTTCCCTTAGGGACTACTGTGCAGACAAATAAAAACTACTGCTGGTATGTTATTTCCTGATTCTCAGGTTAAATGTACATCTTCTGTCTTTCCCCTCTTTTCTCTTTGTATTATTATACTATTCTGAAATTCATTGAATGCTTGCTTTCTATAGAGACTGGATTTTCCTACATCCTAAATATAGTCATGGTTCATGCTGTGCTGTGCCACAAAAGGACCATTTTACTCCTACGGCCATATTTTGATGTCAGTAACCCCAGCACAAATCCAGAATAATTCTCCTAGCTTCAGAATTGCTCGAGGTTCACAGAAGTATAAAGGATTTCTCACCAAGAAAAAAAAAAAAAGAATAAAATAACTTGCTCTACTTTCTAACTGAAAAAGCAGTTTCCTCCTCAACGTACTTCAGCTGGAGATAAAACTTTTGAGATTTTATGATCCACCCAATTCAGCTTTTCACTGCATGAGACGTCTGAGAAAGAAAAAGTTGGATTCTACAATAATGAGGTTATTAGTCAGTTATCAGTGTAAATAAATTCATGACACATGTCTATTTTCACACCACCATCCAGCCAATTGAAACTGAGAAAACCCTTTCTGTAAAATAAAATCCAACATATGTTTACGATTGCCATAAATCTTCGTTATTTCAGTTGCGTCTGAAGCAGGGCTGTCACTAAAGCTGTTCTCTCTAGAATCTGTGTTTAAGCTGAATCTATGGTGAAGCAAACATATGAGAAACCAGATAACCAGACAATAGCATCGCAGAGGGAGAAACTATAGATTGTTTTGGTATGCGTTAAGGGTGTATCAAGAGATAACATGAAAAATAGTCAATAAAAGTTAGGCAAACCAAGTTGTCATTGCATAGGACTTTGGCATCAAAGTGAAACATAGTCTAAATGGCTCTGGTTTTCACATAAATACGTTTAGAGAGCTTTATGGCTTATTAAAGAGATATTAGGCTGTATGTGAAGATATTAAGCTCATGTAAATGAGCATAGTTTTACTGGCTTGAAAAAAAACTATTCGGTTTTATAGGAACTGAAAATCTGGCCCAATACTGTTATTGTTCAGATTATATTATAACTTTCTTAAAGAATATTTCAGGGAGGGAGGGGAAGCGGGAGGAGGAATTACACACTACGGATCTGATCCAAGTACTGCAAAAGCCAATGGAAAGAATCCTACGGACTCGAAAGGAACTTGGGCTGGGCTCTGGAAGCCAAACACAGCAACCTAAAGCAAATCATAGCCTGGAGTTAGTTGGTGTGATTTTAGGCCAACTTCAGAAACAATGTAGGCTACATACTGAGAGAATATTGACTATAAAATCCAAAGGTGTTTGGCAAAATAACGCAGTGCATCACACCAGTGGCTGTGCGAAGAAAGTTTTGCACTCCAGAAGTGACACGTTAATGAGATGGGGAAAGAGAAGAACTGAATACATTTCAATTAATTTTTACTGAATATGAGCCGCTTCGACTCATTGTCATCAGTAGATATAACCCTCGTTCTCATATCTTAGCGTTCAGGGGACCTTCTTTGAGACATGTGCAGAACTCCATCATGAAATGGGCTTCTAGAGCGATGTATTTTCACACCGACCCCAGAGACATCGCAAGCCAACACAAAGGAAATCCCAGTGTTGTCAAGACTTATCCACGTCACTGTGTCAGACCACTACCCATACATAGCAAGTTGGAAGGCCTCGCTGCCGTCGCTGCAGGCTTCGATGCCCGAGGTGAGTACGCACACACACACGGTATGCTCAGACACGGCACCTCTACTTTATGATTTTGCTGCAACCCCAGCTGATGCTATTTAGGAATCATTTTGCTCCAGCTTCTCTGTACCATTTATGTTGATGATCTACCCTTCCGTCTATGTAAAAAAACAACAACAAAAAAGTCTTTCTCAAATCTCAGCATTATTCACTAACTATTCTTAGCAAAAAAAAAAAAAAGTGGAGCAGGGTACGAAACTCGTACCAAGAATGGGACCCAGCTTCCCCAGCGAGTCTCTGGGCCTGTATCTAGCATATGGTATTGTCAAGTAATGACAAATTATTCCATAGACCATAGCTCATGCGGACATTTTGATGGAGTAGGACATCTCTTCCATACAAGACACTGGTCTCCCTCAGCATCTTCCTAGTTGTGACGTAAAGAACTGATGTTAAGAGAGAACTTGCAGCCTGTGGCTGCATGGGTGGCTGACAGAAGGTGAAGTCTTCCTGGAATTTGGTGCACATATCTATATGGAAAAAAAAATATTATCTGGGGACTTGAGACACTATTGCTTCAGAGAACAAGGCTTCTGTCATCAAGCGTCAAAATTTTATTCCTTCTCCTGGCAAAAACTTTTAATGGTAAAGCTCTAAAGACAGCAAAATCAGTTCTCAAACCCCCCAGCAATTCCAATGCTTAGCAGTTACCTTGGTCCTCTTGAAGGTGGCCACTGAAAATTCTCACATCTACCGTTTAATGTAGAGCCAGGGCTAGCCTGGTGGGGCCCTGAGAAAGACGGTGAAAGACTGGCAATGTGCAGAGAAGCCTGTCTAGCTGCATGCCTTCACAGAAGCTCCGACAACATTAGTTCAACATCCCTGACAGTCACCAAAACATACAAAAGTTCACGTTAACAGGTAATGCTAATA